GAAGTCGGGATAGGTCTATTGTGAGCCAACAGAATAAGACTTTCTGATGTGGTTCACAAGTTTCTAGCTACCGTCACTCGTTACCATCACCAGTCACAAAGAGAAGATGATATAGGTCCTACCTTTCCAATAAAATGCTCCCATAAAGTTGTCCCAATTGACAGAAGAGCGCAGATAACTGCTAACAAGATGGCAATCTGCAAAAACATAGTATAAATTTCAACACCGGAGTTATAGCACAAGGGCGTTGTTCCACATGCAATGGACAAGAGTTTCTAAAATGGGTTTAGCAACTGTATGTCATCAAACCTATATTTGAGCAGCCAAAGAAAACGAGTGTTTAGTTCGCATGCCACGCAAGCTATGTTGGATCGTTGGAATTTTTTTCCGATCTTTTTTCCACGTAAAAATGCGCAACTAATGACTAACGACTTATACCGAGTTCCTTTGTACAGTATCATAAGGTTCTAGCATCAACTTCACTGAAGGATTGACCATGGAATTTTTTTAAACAGGGTACCTAATACTAATTATAAAATAACTGTTATGAATGTCGTGTTCTGATTGGTTTGAAGCGCGTGCTTTATGAGAGCACATTGCACGCGCGCGCACTTTCCGTTGCGTCATTCCTATCTATTATTGTAATTTGTATTTTATAAAAGAAATAAAAAAACTTGCTTGCTGTGCTGTGTGCAGTCATAAAGCACTTGGGGATTGGCAGAACACTCGAGAAGTGTCCAGAAACTAATACTTCTCTCGTGTTCTGCCAACCCCCGCGTGCTTTATGACAGCACACAGCACGTGCGCGCGTTTTCTATTTCTTCAATAAAATGAAACCTGACGTCGGTTGTAACTAAAGATTAAAGTCTTTGTTGTTTACATCTTTTATRCTACTTACTCCGATTATGAGTTTATTGAGAAGTTTGTCCAGATTTGTTCTCTTGAATTTACTAACACCTGGAATCAAATAAAATATGTTGAACTACAGCATGCATACTTTAAGGCTTCCAAAGCAATGGGAACTGAACCAATTCAGTGATACAACTCAGTGAAATACTCTGATGGACCACAAGTTAAAGGTTRACTATATGTTAAGGATGACCGTGAAAATGATGATAATAGTGGTGGGATAGAAATATTGTTAATGATGATTCTGATCAAGCGATGAGGATGGGGATGATGAGAATGATGGTGATGATGATAGGGATGATGAGGATGTTGGTGATGATGATGGGGATGATGAGGATGATGGTGGTTATGATAGTGATAATGATGAAGATGGTGATGATGATGATGATGGTGATGATGAAGATGGTGATGATGATGGTGATGATGAAGATGGTGATGATGATGGTGATGCTGCTGCTGATGATGATGGTGATGGCGATGAGGATGATGATTGTGACGATGATGATGGTGATGATGGTGTTGATGGTGGTGATGATGAAAATCATGATGGTGATGGTGATGATGGTAATCAAAGGCACTTTACGTTGAGTTGTGAATAACAGATTGCTTTTATGCAATTTACAAGCATGAGAGATGGTTAGTATGAGGTGTGGGCACTGAGGGTGGTCATTGCCAGGGTTTCTTTACATCCTCAGTGGTTCTTTTATGTCCCTCCAATGTTGGTTAGTAATGATATGTGTGGAGAGATGGGACCGCCATTTAAAGTGGTCATCTGAGCCACTTGAAAGTCTAACCATTTGCAGATGTAATTACAAAGGCAGCACTTTCTCCTCAGTTATTTTAAGACCCTGAGTGTTGGTCTGGCCGGGACTTGAAACATGACCTCCCGCACGAAAGTCTGATGCTCAACCAACTGAGCCAACCAGTTGGCGGGATGATGATGCTGATGATGATGTTGATGATGGTGGTAGTAATGGTGGTAATAGTGATGATGATGTCTGCCAAACATATTAAAATGTGTATTGTGTATTTTCTTAAAATCGTAGCAATATTTGAYTATCATACCACTGTTCATCATGAGCTTGGAGTCTTGACCAGCATACACTACAACACCATACACCCAGTCTGTGTTCCTTAATACACACCCCTACAAGTACATACAACATTATCAATAAACCACACCAAAATGATTACTAGCTTTGAAGATCATTGCTTGTTTCTTTGGCGGGATACCTGTGGTAGGTAGATCACACAGGGATCCCAAGAGCCAAACAAGATGAACTATACGTAATGAGGAATGCCTAGTTATCGTCAACCAAGATGGTGGTTATGATGTATCTTGCACATGCTACAAGTTTCTTAATTCAGTCAGATGGCAATGTTAATACGAGTTAACAATGGAAAGTCTACATGTAACACTGACCAAGGGAAAATGTTAAAACTTACCCTGAGAAGAACATTCTCATTATCCAATGAGTAGTCMTTGCCTTCATAAACCAGTCTTCCATGGAACTTGTCTAGTCTGTTGTTAGGGAGATCACAGCTGGCTTCTCCTGTCAATGTAAYACATAATCATGACATTCAATATTTATGACAAAGCCAGGGTTGTCAATAAAATTTTTGGTAGGCGGTTATGAAATTAAAATAGGTGGTAAACCGGAAATCACTGGAGCATGTAATCAAGGCTTACTTGTCACATTTTCCCATACAAATCCTTATAAAATATTCAACTTTGTATTTAAAGCCATTTCACCTGTATTAGGCAGGGGTTTCAATAGAAGGCGGCTACCGGCGGTTTATCACCGGGTACTTACCTTCATACCACCGGCTATTTTGCGAATTAGTCTTAATAAATAAGAAGTAAAATTTGTGGAAACAGACGTGTACTGAGTTTCATCCATCTACTTCAAATGTTATTGAAAGCCCTGATTAGGTCATATTTTAAGCTGAAACTTTGCCTTCTTACTAATATCGAGATGCTCTTTCCATTTCTGGTTCATTTTGACACAACACCTCTCTTTACGGGGGTAGGGTCACATGACCTGTTGTTGCTAAAGGCCTATTACCAACATACAAAAATTCAAGAAAGATCGGGTAGTAGTATAGGAAGAACTATAGGGTGCAATATACTTGTATAAATAGTTTGTTTGGTTYATTAGTTCATACCTTGATAATTGCCTAGTAAATCTTCATCATCACCCATTTCACCTGTCTCAGGAAGAGGTTGTCTGCACTTCAAGTTTGTTTCACTAAAAATATTATTCCATAAATATAAATTATTATAATAAATAATATATTCTGGTTTCTGTAGTTTTCCTCCATCAACAAACATTTACTTCTAAACTCCGATTCATTCATGGAACAAGGGTGACTGGTTCGTATTAGAAAGGCTGATTTACAAGATACTATTTTTCCTTAAAGTTGTCACACACAACATGCATGCTGATGAAACTTGTTTACTTCTGTAAGAGAAAGCTAACACTAGACATACAGTAAACCTGAATTATGGGAAGTTTGGTGTTAAGTATGCAGCTGTCACAAGCTGGAATGATTTACCACATAATATAAAAACCAGTTCAACACATAAAGTCTTTAAAAATAAACTTAAAAAACATATGTTGCTTTAGAATTTTGATTTTAATTAGGTTTTGCTTCAATGTAACTTTATTTCCTACTTTAATTTAGTTCAAACTTCACTTTATTATAACTTTTTATGTGTATTGAATCTATTTTAGTTTGCTACTTTCCCCCATATAAGTTCTTATTTGAAAGTGTTATATAGTTTCAAGGTGCAGAAATATTCTCTTAACCCTTTTGGGTTGTTTTCTTCTGCTCCTCCCAGTTAATTTTTTTAAAATAGTGATGTAAAGTATAAAATTCTCATTCTGGGAAATAAAAAAACCTTGAAACCTTGAACCTTGAATAAGCATGCTTCATTATGGAGAAAACAAAACACTGAACAACAGAAGTTTAGTTAACAATTTGATATAAGCAAATAAAATTTATGGAATACATTTCTATGATAATGTGTAGTTCCAGAAATCATCCATACCCACCCCACAGAGGNGGGGGGTAGGGGGGGTGTCTTAAAAAATTCCTCCGTGGAGGGGGGGGTATGGATAATTTTTGGAACTACACAATAACCATAATGATAATTTATATAAAAAGTCATTAATGAAACAGTGGTGAGGAAAAATTGTGCCATGTCAATCGAGCCTTAAGCCACAGGGAAAATTATTAAAGCATTATCATCAACAACAAAWAAAGAGAATTATTTCTTGTACAATGTGAATATTATGTATTTACAGTAAACAGGACTTACCCATCCAACTCTGCTGTTTCAATATAACACAAACCATTTTCTTCACTCGTAGTAAGAACAATTACATCAGCCTGAAGAAGAGGATATAAGTGAATAAGATATCCTACCATGTGCATACGGTACAACATCATATCGTTATGTAATAATTATTGTTTGTGCATGAGATATACACAGAATCTTCTGCATTTTTCTGTGCAACCATTGTGCTTGGTTGTATCCATGGCATGTGTCAGCAGCAATGAATGTCATCATTGTGTATTTCAAGCCCAAGTTCACTGATTTGATAAACTACATGTATGTAGTGTACTGTATGTATAGTGGCACTCTGGGGTTTGATTCCTGGAATTGCCATCGCATGTGAGTAGAATTTGTTAGACCTTTCCCTCAATTATACGGYTTTCCCTGTGTTCTCTGGTTTTCCTCTCCCCGCAAAACCTAACAACCTGAATTCCAATTACATTTGTGAGTAAGCCATGCCCTGACTTTCAGGATTAGCCCAGAGGTTGTTCCAGGGTTGTTCCAGAGCCCTGACATTGATCGGCCCAGAGGTTGTTTCAGGGTTCAATCTGTTAGTTAGTTGTGCCCTGACAAAGATCAGCCCAAAGGTTATTTCTGGGTTTAATCTGTGAGTTAGGCATTCCCTGACTTAGATCAGCCCAGAGGTTGTTTAAGGGTTCGATCTGTGAGTTAGCCATGTCCTGACTTAGATCAGCTCAGAAGTTGTTCAAGGGTTCAATCTTTGAGTTAGCCACCCCTTAATAAGCACAGTTAAGTTTGTTTGATGTGTGGGTCTCTCCCTAGCACCATAACTTACAGGTACTTGCTCATTGTTTTCTATTCTCAAAATATCTCCTACATGAATCTCCATCCATTTCTTTGTTTCAAGGCTAAAATGATAAAATGGAACTTAGATTAATTAGAAAAACAGCACAATACAATGATATTGACCTGACAATAACGTGGCTGAAGTTGGCTGCAATTAAGCCATTAYGACTGATTTTGATAGCAAATTTTATTTCTAATGACTAAATCCATTAAACAATGCCCAATGCTTTTTTTTGCAGGAAGGAGGCAGTTAGGGGCGAGGTCAAAACAATCATCCAAAATAGGGACCCGATTTTATGAATTAAGGTGGTGGGTRCCGGTATATACCCCCTTCCCCCTCAGAGACCTGTTCAAATGCTCGGTACTGGGGGTCTGTAGCGGCAATTTCTGTAAACAAATATGTTTTTAGCATGCATGCAGACGGACAGTCCATTCATTTTTGTGATTTGGCTTTTAGTTTTGGAGATATTTGGGGACAAAATCTAAGATTTCACTTCCAGAGGTGGTAGGTACCGGGTAACACCACCCCTCCACCCTAAATCGGGTCCCGTGAGATGACAATTGTTTTGCCCTCGTTACTTAACTCCCAACATCCCACAATCCCACACCCCTCAATGTTATCTGCACATTAATTATCCCATGGTAAAACAGGATAAGGTGAGTATACGTCAACACTCAAAGTTGATTGTCATTACCTTTTGTTTATTAACACTTGACATTTCCTATTGTTGACTCCTTTGTCATTTCTGTGTCTTTTCTAATAGAAGAGGTGGAAAAGTTTGACWAAGTTTTTGGCAATGTTCTAACTGTAAATTTAGCCATCAACTTGAGCTTGGTATTCACTTGCGACAGAATCAGCCAGTTGGAATTAGAGTTTGAAACAGTTCATTCATAACTGTTGAGTGAAATCTGCTTGTCATAAGCGTAAGCATAAGCCAAGGAAAGAAAGCCTTTCAATCCTTTCAATTTCCAATGTGCGTCTGACTGTGATTCCAATTTATTTCTTCATAAGCTGCTTCCGACTATGCTTCTGCCTCTAACTCTGATTCTGTTGCAAGTGAAAACCTGAGGTTCTAGATGCCAAATTTGTTTCTAACTTACAATATCATCATATGCATCTTTGACAGCTGTAGCAGCAAGAACAAACAACAAGGGAACAGCAGTTGATTCTGGCTTTAATGCAGTAATGGCAGGGATACACTGAAAGACATTAAATTACATCGTTATAGGCTGTTTGCATAATGGCGTCATTTGACTAATACTACCATAATGCGCTTTGCAAATTTTCTTTTTGTATTCAAATTAGTATTCCCTTATGAGAATATTAAGACAATTGGTGCTAATCAACTGAACAAAAGAAAGTGTGCAAGACAGTCTGGTAGTAGAGGTCAATGCCATTTTGCAAACATCCTGTTAAATAAGAAAAATTAGAGTAAAAATAGACACATGGTAGGGGTAATAGTGTACATTATGACTAACTGCCATGTGGTAGTCTACAATCCGCTGACTGTAAGTTGGTTGATCATTGTATGTGCATCAGCCAACAAAAAGACTATTTCTATTGAAAATGACCCTGACTCATATACAAAAGAGCCCAGGAATGGAAACAAGATTGCACTGGCAACAGGTTAGGCACGCAACCTGTGCTTCACTCCCATAATCTAATCTTTTTATGGAWAAAGGATTACTATAATAATACATTTAGATGCCATTCTTACCATGATTATAATCTGCAGTAAGAAATAYATGTTTGCAATTCTTCTGAACTGCTCAAACAAGTTGATAGGCAAGAATGTGAGTAGTGTGTACTTTGATGTCCTGATGAAGTTGTCGGCATACTTGTACTGCTCGTTGTGTTCTCTGTTGTTGATCTGAAGAACACGACCAGCCTGTCCTGATGAAAGAAAGTAGAAAAAAATTAATTTCACAGTTCTACCGTCCTAATAACCCTTTTATGCTTGGGGGTAAACTGTGATAATTATTAAGTTTTCCCAAATTATTCAGATCATGTGTCATTCCCTAGAGTATCATTTCTTTGTTGAATAATGTTTAACATGAGAAGACACATGAATATAGATACATCTCAAGCAAAGAATTTCAATTTCAAGAGAGTGACACCTGGTCTGAAATGGGAAAACATTGTGCAAAAAAGTAAATTGTTGTATTGGATTTCATAGTTCTAACCAAAAACATTTTAAGATTTTTGAATTATTTAGGGTTTGTTCAAATTGTGAACAATAAATTAAATAGGAGTCTGAAATATTATGATACAAAAATTTGAAAAGACTTTGCCTTTATGTATATATGGTTTCATGACAATTGCATAACATGTCCCGGTACATTTACAGTGTATACACTCAATTGAGGAATCGTTGTCGGGTTCAGAAACATATAACATAAAAGCTTTGACCAAAATGGCACATGGGAAATGACATAATTATATTATAATTTATTCATTTGCGCCATCCATGCAGTCGGTTTACAATGCCAAACGCGTATTAAAAACAGTGGATGATGCCACGGGTCGCCGGTCACAGCATGCATCTAATTAACGTACTTCCCATGTGCCATTTCAGTCTCAGCTTTTAAGTTCTATGTTTCTGAACCCGACAACGATTCTTCAATTGAGTGTATATGAAAGTGTATCAGTACTTTAGCCATAAAATATTAACAGATTTAGTCTACATATTCGCAAATTAAACCTTAACTTAAACCGCTTTCAAAGACAACTTTTCTGGACAAGGAATCTTAACAAAMTAAAGAAACCAAATCGTAATTGATGGTTTTAATTAATAAAAAGTATTGTGTATAATTTAGATTTACAAACAAAGAAATCTTAGATGTATTCTTGTACTGACCTCACCTAAACTGTGAGCTCAATATCAATACTAGAATAACACAAAACCCGTACTATAAATCATTAAAATGTTGTAAAACATCGTTGATCTGAGATGTCAWTGATCTCAGTTCTTTTAAGACCTAGATTAAATAAATATATAAATGCCTAAATAAATAAGGCTGAAAATTTTTAACTCAAAATCTCCATTAAGCGATGGCTTATCATCAAGTGACCTCAGCACTAAACCTCAGAATTTCAGCGAATTTTATACAATTTCACTCTCAATATAGGAGTAATCTCCACAAGTACTCCAATATTTAGAGCCCTTTCCAATTATAAATGTGAAAATAAAGTCTTTGAGATTGGATTATTAACCAAAGTATTCTAATTTGAACCCGCCTCACAAACCTCAAACGAGCTTGAATAAAGGAAATATGACTCCCAAATAAAGTCTTTCTAAGATTTCTAAGTATATTATAATAATGAAAATGCATTACCTTTTCGTGTACTTCTTCGTTTCGCTTTAGGCATTTTGTTTTTAGGATYAAAGCGAATTATTTTCTGCTAAAATAGAAGTGTTTCAGAATATTTTCGCCGAGTTGATAAACAGGAACTCGAAGCTGAGCTCACGGCATTTTTTTCCCCTTTCACTATAAGCTCTTCTCAGGACAGGAATACTATCTCTATAGAGATGTTGTGAGCATTTGCTCTAGCTTAGGTCGTTTTTTAGCTTGGTTTTTGAAGCATAAAGATTGTTTGGTTTTCAAGCACCGTTAGGACAGCGAAGAAAACGAACGAGCGTACACAGGAAGCCCAGCATCCACGGCAGTTATGAATATCCAGGTTTCTCAGTCGTTTTTGCATCGGAACAAATTTATAAACGTTTTATAGAAGAAACAGTTAAATAATAAAAAGAGAAGTAAGTTTGAAATCCTTCTTTTCACCACCTATGCTGAATAAATATGTGATAAAAAAATAGTAATACATGCGRCAACCGCTCAACCATGGTGTTTTTCCCTGTACAGACTTAATTAGTTGTCAAATTTTAAATTCATACTTCATGAATAAAATATAATYAAGCTTAGTGAGTATTCTAACTGCKACCAGCTTGATTCCCGTTTGTTTYTAGCGTGGAACATACTKATCTTATTCTTCGTGTGATGGCGGTTTCAACCTAGGGCGGGGCTTGTAGGAGGAAGGGGGGAGGGGGCGGGTACAGAACAGTTAAGCGGCCACCGTCGGSGAATTTGCCACTGGCCGTTAAAACAAACACATGCACTTCTTTTTATTTTACATTATTCAGTGAAAATTTCTGAAAGGAGGCATTGAAATTATCGTCAAAGATTTTGGAAAGAAGAGCTTTAGTCAACAATTCCATTTCCCATTACAASTGACGTTACCAGTAAATTATTTGGTAACATTTTCATTTCCAAATTTAATTTCAGAGGTTCCACAAGTCTATTCACTAGTCAGGTGTCTGTGGTTACGCTTGATTTAGAAAGCGATGCTAGGTAGGCTTATGAATCAAATACAATAAATACTGCCGTAAAAGGGGCTAACAGGTGTCGTCTCTCATCGCTGTGGCTATGGTTTCGATAAACCAGACGTCCTTCCGCTTCCCCGTCCCCCCGAAAGGATATATCTGTATTTTTCTCCAKGCTATCATCATACAGYCAAAAGAGTTTCTTAGTGCTGGTTCTCTCCTTTGTAACATGCTTATCCTTATTCGCCGCGCGTCCTTTTTCCCTTCTCAAAAATCAGGCTATTAAATTGGCAATTCGACATTACTTTAGACTCGGGAAACTAAGGAACTGTTCCCTGCTCTTCAACGAAAATAAAGTTGGCTTTTTAGCATCTTTTTTTTTTCCCCCAGTAGTTTTCACCATTGTTTTTCATCATGACCACTTGACCACAATGATTGTTTGCGGTTAAGTTCAGCAAGTCGTAAATATTTTAAGACCGACGAAGATTTCAGTCTTTAGCTTGTGATTTCGGATGATAAAAGGTGAAAAAAGTATCGTATATTAATTTACACAGTTTTTAAAGTTTATGTAAAGCTACAGTAAATAGACACTTTTAGCTTGGACGTAATGGTTTTCTAYTTCTTCGGACCAAATGTTATTCCCTAGCCTGTATCCGATCATGGCGCACGAGATAACACATCAGATGCCAAGAGAATATTGCACATGCTTATGGACACAACTCAAACAACGAATCTTATTCTCCGAGAGAATGACACGTGGTCTGAAATGGGTAAACGTTACGCCCAATCAAATTGAAGAGGCGATTTAGATTTACAACGGTTGAAGTTTTACATATCTATGGGTAGGTGTACACTAGATTTTTGTTATATCAGCTCAGGCTTCCCAGACTTAGTGCACAAGTAACAAGTTTTCACCACCCACGAATAAACAGCTAAAAGACTGCCCTCAGCATCCCATAATTCAAGATGGCCGCCGTATCAGTAAAAAGATATATTTGCGATAGAAAGAAAAATACAAGAGAGCCATT